GCATAAAATGTTGTGATATGATCTCATCATAATCACTGCTCCTTGGAGCTTCAGGAGAAGATTTTATCAATATTTAAATCCTCCCATAACCAAAACATTGCTTGCTTATTTTTAGATCAGATACCAGCGGCATTAATTTTATCAATTTGTATAATACAGATGCCCTCCCACTGGATTGCCACTTTCTGATCTTTTGATAATAGGCAGCTTTAGACATGTGAGCGTTATGACTCAGGCTGATGTTTCATGATTTATAAGTTAACCGATGATGCCCCTTAAGCATACTCTGAGTTTAGAGAAGAAACTTAGTTGATTTACGTTCAGTGAGTCAGAAGATACTCATCAGGTTACAAAAGATGGTGCTTATTTCCATCATTGTATAGTGGTACATCTGTGGCAATAGTATTATTCGTTCTCAATAAGTGGCTTTCACCATGTTTTGCATTTTACATTCTGACTCCTATTCAATGCTTGTTTTTAGGTTAAGTGGGGTTGTGATTTGCAGAGTGAGCATGAACGGTATTTAACTGAGGAGGCATTTAGCGGATGCCCTGTAATTGTCAGAGATTATCCGAAGGCATGAACCCCTCTGTTGTATCTTTTCCTATTTTTTGGAATAATCATGGAAGGGAAAAACTAATTATGAAATTTAGTTCCACTTATCGAACTACTTCTCTGAAGATATTCATGACACATTCCTATTTCAGGACATCAAAGCATTTTATATGCGGCGAAATGATGATGGGAAGACTGTTGCAGCTATGGATATGTTGGTTCCCCGGGTAATTTTAGCAATATATAATTGCATTTCTATTATTGCTATCCTGTAGCTATTAATAAAATTTTATTGCTGTCTAAAATTTATTCTAGAGGGTATAGTGATTTTTTTAGGTTGTGTCTTGCGCAACACATTAGACACAGGTATGAAGCTATGCTTAGTTGAATTACAGATAACAAGAGAATGTTCTAGAATGCCAAAGGTTTGCGGTCCAGCAATCCTGTTGAGGCAGGTCTATAGTGGCAATTCGTGTTTCTGGGTTGTGCTTTGACTAAGACAACACAAAATAAAACAAAAACACAAATATGATAAGACATAACCTGACTAACATGGTTCGGTTTATTTAATACTTTGGCTTTAGGGTTACATTGTAATGTATTTCGTTCTATCATCAAAACCAGACCATGTTGTGTCAACTTTTGTATCAATTCAGTGATGTATCATGCCATTTAATCAGTGATGTTTTATAGTATTATTTTTGCTAATAAATTGTGATTGTTCTTTTGTCAGGTTGGCGAGCTTATTGGTGGAAGCCAGAGAGAAGAGAGGCTTGAATATCTAGAAGAAAGGTTGGATGAATCAAAGCTGAATAAGGACAACTACTGGTGGTATCTTGATTTGCGTCGTTACGGTTCAGGTGAGGAATTCTGTTTTTTGAACTTGAAAAATTACTCTAGTGGCTGAATGAATGCTGAGAGAATTTGCGCTACTACACAATTGGAAAATCTGAACTTAAAGTTAAGAGTGCTGCTGTTCCCACTCTCCCACCTCAAATTTAGAAAACGAAGGTAGTATTTATGGATAAATTTATACATACAAATCACTAGAAGGTCGTCTAAGTTAACATGATCCATCCAGAATGAACGTTAATAAAACATGAGATGTAGTCGATAGTATATGGTTTATCAATTGAGCTTCTATATTCTGAGTGGATAAATTATTTTATGTTTAATTTCCATTCTCCTTGTTTCTCCAGTTCCTCATGCGGGCTTTGGTTTGGGTTTCGAAAGACTTGTACAATTTGCAACTGGGATAGAGAACATCAGAGATGTTATCCCTTTTCCCCGGGCACCTGGTTCAGCTGAATTTTGATGCGATTGCTTTTGGTTCCTAAATAGTTTTCCCTCATTTTGTAAGACTGATTCTGATTGCTGAACTTTTTATGTATAGAGAATTTTATAGCTTCAAGCTGGCTTGGCTTCAATTCTTTTAGGCCTGTAAGGTCTGCAGTATCTCATGTAAGAAATATTTGTCTTACTTCTGCTCACTTTTTCGCTATTTAGTTTCTTGACCAACCTTTTTTGGGATGAAGTACCAGTTAAATTTTATAATTACAGCCAATGCGTGTTTGTCCCATACCTTATATTATTTATGGAATTGAACTATTTACATGGAATTAGAGAAACCGAACCTACTCCCTAATATATCTTCCCCACTGCTGAATTGGTGGTGGGTTAATTTCACTCTCGTTCACGCAAGGAGAGCTAAAATTGTTGACTGCTGGGGTTAGGGTTTTCTCTAGTTTTCTTGATCCATTTTTTGTGTCGTCTCTCTCTGCCCTCTCTGATTGTCTCTCTGGGTTCTTCTTGGTGTGTTGGGTCCAGTGGTTTTCGCTTTGTTTGTTCTTTGTAAGGAGGGCTGAGTCAGCTCTTCGTGTTCCTCACTCATAGGCTCTGTGTTTGGTTGCTCTCCATCCTCGGGTCTGCATTTGGATTGGAGACCCTCTTTCCCAAGGTCTTCCTCCCATGGGGCTTGTGTGCTTCTGTTCTCAATGTACCAGGTTGGGCTCCATTTTTATTTTTTTTTATTTTTTATTTTTCTATGGGGCTGTCTGATCTTGATGGGAAAGTGGCTCTCGACGATATTGAGTGCTCGCTTGGGAGTTGTATGGTGCTTACACATCGGGCAAAGGTTGAAGTGGTGATTGGTATTTCAGCGGCCTCTGTTCAGATCTTGGTCTGCGGTGAGAAACGGAAGCGTGCCAGAATTGATGGTGGGAGAGCATATGATCGATGGTGGCATCAATTTTTCTGGTAACAATTTGGTACCAATGGCTCTGCTGACAAGGGTCTCTAAGGTCTCCTTGATAATTCTTAGTTGGAACGTTTGTGGGCTTGGCATTCGACGAATGTTCAGTAACATGAAGTTTTCTTCTTCAAGACAATAGGTTGGTATGGGAGCAAGTTGGGTCCCGATTTAGTTCTTATTAATTTTGTGTTTTGTTTCTATGGTGGTACGTGTTGGTATTCCTTTGTTTCTGACGCATTGCATATTGTACAACTCTAGCATTTTGCAAAGGACTATGTTTACACAAGAGGTCTTCTTTGACACAACCTAAGAGACGGTGTGCTCTTTGATGGGTTTCGTTTTGCTTAAGTTTGTTCATTTGTGCTTTGTTCTCGTGGATTGTTCGTCTTGGTGGTGTTTTGGTTCTGCCCATTGTATCCTGAACAAATCTCGCGTTGTACAAATGACTATGTTTACATAGGAGGTCTTCTTTGACAGAACTTGAGAGGCGTTGGTGTGCCCTAGGGATGGAAGAAATTCCCATTGGGTCGGGTCCCCATCGAGTTCTCGGATCTAACGGGGGGAGATTTGGAGGAAAAACAGGGGCGAGTACGGGGATCCCTGATTTTTAAAGAGATATTTAGTCATATATCTATTCTTAGCATTAAAAATATAGATAAACTTTACACCATTTAAATTACTTCGATGTCCTATTGAGTGTTTTGAGTTTTTTTTAATGAGGTTTTGGGGTTGAGTTTTTAAAGAAATCAATGATAGTTTTGTAATTTAAAAGAAGTCGAAAGCCTTTTGTTATGTTGTAAATGAGCTTTTGGTGTGTTTCTAAAGTTCATTTTATATAGGGTTTTTTATATTTATAATTTGGGCTCTTATATTAAGTATAATAGTAAATCTCCCTTTTTTAAAAATACCCGATCGGAGACGGGGTGGGGATGGTATTGTTATCCCCATCCCCGAACTTAGGCCATAAGTGATGTATTTGGTTTTAATTAATAAATATGTTATATAATATAATATAATATAACAATTAAAAAATTAGCCTAACCTTTGTAAGATGATGAAACTTTGGAATGTCTCTTCTTCTGACCTGAAAATTCCACCAAATACTTCCTTGGTATATGGTACAACACAATCCCAAATACACCAATAATATGGGGTGCTAACAAAGAATCTCCACTTGATTATCTGGGTTTTTTCATGCTCGGCTATGATGGACATTCTAGTGTGTTAGATGGTAGTTATCTGGTCATCAAATGCATTATGCATGAGTATCTGCTTCTGCAATGAATGCAATAACAATTAAAAGTTATCATAAGCTTTGTAGAATGATGAAACTCTATCAAATTAAATTGAGATGAGTTTGAATAGTTGAGTGAAATTTTATAATTCAATTGAATAATAGTTTAAGGTGAAATTTAAGTGTTATAATATGAATACTTTTTTTTTTAATTGTTCTAAAAATTAGGGATTCGGGCCGTCTTTGGTATATCAACCCCCGACGGGGATGGGGATGGGGATTTCTAGAAAATTCAAACCGGGGATAGGGGCAGGTATGGGGAGCGGAGACGGGTATGGTATTGCTATACTCGACCTTTAATAAGCCGTTCCATCCCTAGTGTGGTCCTTTGATGGGTTTGTTTTGCTTCAGTTTGTTTCTTTGGTTTTTTGTTTTGCGGGTTGTTCGTTTTTTATGTTCTTTTGGTTATGTCCATTGCATGCTGAACAATTCTTGCGCTATACAAATGACTGTTTGCTTAGGAGGCCTTCTTTGACAGAACTAGAGAGGTGTTGGTATGCTTTTTCAATGGGTTTTCTTAATTTGTGTTTGTTGGTGGGGAAGTTTTGTTTTAAGAGGTGACTAAACTGTGTTTTTGTTTTTGTCTAGACTCTCTTGTTAGTCTGCTAGT